AATCAGGCATTTTCTATTTTCAAGAAGTGGAAAATACTTGTTGAGACTCAGACAGGTAAAAAAGTCAAGAAGCTCAGGACAGACAATGGCTTGGAGTTCTGTGAGTCAGATTTCAATGACTTTTGTGCGGCAAATGGAATCGCCAGGCACAAGACCTTGCCTGGTAAACCCCAGCAAAATGGTGTTGCCGAACGTTTGAACAGGACTCTATTGGAAAGAGCTCGTTGTATGCTCTCTAATGCTGGGTTATGGAAACGGCGTGATTTTTGGGCCGAAGCCGTTTCTACTGCTTGCTATTTGGTAAATAGATCTCCACACTCATCCCTCGATTTCAAAATTCCAGAGGAAGTTTGGTCAGGTAATCCTGTTGACTACTCTATCTTAAGAGTTTTTGGATGTCCTGCTTATGCTCATTCTAGTACGGGTAAATTAAACCCGAGAGCTGTCAAATGCATTTTCCTTGGTTATGCCTCTGAGTCAAAAGGGTATCGTCTATGGTCTCCTAATTCTCAGAAAATCATTCTGAGTCGAGATATCACTTTTGATGAAAATGCACTACTTTTTCCTGGAAGAGTTCCCAGTACAGGTGAGACGCAGAGTACTGGTGAGAAGGTGGAGTTTGAGTTCAGGCCTATTGATAGTGTTACTACTGTTGACGGTAATACTAAAGATGATGCATCTACTAGCACAACACCTCTCGTCGAGCCACTACGAGAGTATTCCATTGCTATGGATTGGCCTAGGAGGACAATCAAGAAACCTGCTAGGTATGCTAGTGATGATGAAACCAACATGGTTGCTTATGCTCTTTCAGTCGCATAGGAAGTTGATGGTGATCCATCCTACTATTCTGAAGCTTTTCCTATTGCTAAGTTCAAGCAGTGCTCGAGCTTTGTCGGCTGTTCCAGCTATTAATTCCCACAATGAATTTGATCCAAGGTGGAGATTGTTGGGAATGTGTGGCTCAAATATTTACACATGGACCATTTCACCATGTTGGCATCTTCCACTCTCACCATAAAGCTAGCAGCTTTCTCCACGTTGCACTTCATCCCTCCGTAATGCCTTTTTTCTCTCATTTAGAATAGTATAAATAGCTTTGCTTGTTTTTGTAATAATGCATCAATTATTGAATTCATCTTCTTTGTCTTTAGTGTTCCTTACGTACAAATATATATATATATTTCATTTGTTATTCTCTTTTGAGAATTTATATATATATTTTATATTTTCTCATTTTATATTAGATTCATTTGTCATTTATATAATTTTCTTCATTTACATATTTTCCCTATTATTTAACTTCTATAATTCTCAATTTTCGATTCTTCGCTTCCGCATTATTCCGCTATATTCCTAACACAAACTAATCATTGAGGCATAGTTGCCTTTTCTACGTCAACTTCAGTACAAGGGAGACTCATCACGGCTGCTAACTCTGGATCTCAAAAAGGAAAAACAGGCTTGCATGCGGTATATCGTAATAGCAAGTGTATCATCATTATGCTGTTGCCTGTTGATCACCCCCTCCTGGAAAAAGGGTGTCTTGCTCAGCCTGCTTTTCTTGTGGATCTTTTGCGAAAATAGATGGCATTGCACTGGAATTTTATGTTTTGGTTTGGGTTGTTCACTTGTTCATAAATGAATATTTCAGTACAATGGATTTGGTATTGGGGTGTTCGGAAGCCGTGAGATCAACGGATTTGGTATTGGGATCAAAAAGGAGATTACACAGTTAAATCATGGTATAAACAGCTCATTACTCACTAGGGTGGCTACTGATGGTCGCCCTTAGAATATGATATGGAATCTTCATGTACCACCAAAGGTGAAGAATTTTTGTTGGCAATTGGCTTCATCATTCCTCCCAACCAGAGATGCTTTAAACTCGAAGCATGTTGGTTTGTCACATGTGCAGGGCGGAGGACGAAAATGCATTCCATCTTTTCGTCAAATGTCGTGAAGCTTTAAATGGTGATTTGTTATCTAAATTTGTTATGGCTTGTTGGGGTTTGTGGAATAGTAGAAATGATAATGTGTGGAAGGGGCTTGCTTTTGATCTTAATTATACACTGCAAAGGGCTCTTACTTTGTTGGAAATTTGGAAGGCTGCTAATGAGTCACCTAATAATATGAATATTTCGCAGCCTGCACTTACTCACTGGACTAGGCCAGCATGTGGAAGGTTAAAAATGAACACAGATGTTGCATTTAATCAAGGAAATAATGTGATGGGTCTTGGTTGGGTGTTGCGAGATGATGATATAAGATTTTTTGCAGCTAAAAATATGTGTATGTCGGGGAGTTATTGAGTCAGGTTGCGGGGAATGGTTGGACTCTCCTCCATCTTTTCTTGTAAACATTCTTTCTTGTGATTCAATGAATTAATCTTTAGTTTTCAAAAAAAAAAAAAAAAAAAAAAAAACCTTGATAAAATTTAAAGTCCAAAGTAAAATATAAAACTTATGTTCAAACCATAAAAACTTTTTTAAAAAAGTTAAAAGTCAAAACTTCAAATATTCAAAATTCAAAGCACCCAAAACAAGTTTATGTCAACTACAACAATAGTGGTCCTTGTACATTCTTGTTCCAGGATAGACGTTTCAAAGCTTCAAAGTAAAGAAAAATCTGTCAAATTTGCAAAAATATGCACAATATTAGATATCACAATTAAAATACATTAGATCATTTCTCATATTTTCTGGTAACAATGAATTCTGTGGGTTTTGCGGCATAAATGAATTCTTTGCAGACATAACTAATGAAAAACAATAAGGACAACATATATAATCAAATATTAGCTACATCAATCACAATATTAGCTAAAGCAAATAATCCAAAGGGAGGCACTGAGGCAACAAGCCAATTGAATGATTTCTATATTTTCACTACTTTACCTAACAAGGTAACCCTCTATGGAACTTCAACCTATATAACATCTAAAATTTGTGCACTCTATTCCCCATGCCCCCTCCCATTTCAGTTACAATTTATAACTGAGCCTCAAGACTTTTCTTGAAAGGAGCCTCAAGACTTTAAAAATAAATGAATTCAAGATAGAGCACCCAGCATTAACCTCAAAGTGGCAATTACACCACAATTCAAAAGACAGACCCAACCACCAGCAAGCAAGTTATCAAAATAATATGATCATTATTAACACATGTTTTGGATCAAATTAAAATGAAATAGTTTTAAAATTATGATTCCAAATCATATTCTCAAACTCCAAAACTAATTAATGACTATAATAATGGTAAAATTCTTTGATTCATCGATTCAAAAATCAATAATGATTACTATTATAATAATACCAATAATTTTTACATAATAGTAATAACGGTATAACATATAATCAATTTTCTTAATCGTAATCGAATAACGTTTATTAATAATAATAATTATTAAATGTCATATAATATCATCATTATTAAAACAAAGGTTTTGAAGGAATTTCAAAATATAATTCTCAAAATCATAATCAAAATTATAATAATTATGGCAAGACTGCAAAAAAAAAAAAAATAAATAAATAAAAACCGGAGTATCAAATTTCCTTAAACATATGCGTTTTCCAAAATTGTGATGTAACAGCACACTCAATAATTGCAACAAATATATAGTCATAATAATGATATTAATAAAAAGAAAAAAAAAAGAAAAAAAAAAGAAAAAGAAAAAAGCCAAGCACCTTGTCCTTAGATGGTATGTAGTGACCTTTCTATGTGGGAGGTTATGAGATCAAGTCTCAGTGGAGGTGTTGTTGACTCTGTGTGCTTCATTCAGTGTTGCAAAAATCGGGCCTAGGCGCTAGGCGGTCGGCCACCTAAGCGCCCTAGCGATTTTTTCAACCTTGGCTTCATTAGGTTGAGAAAGTATGTTTACACAGACATTACAATGTAATAGAGTCAGTAGCATTTAAAAAAAAAATACTCAAAACCGAATGAGTGCATAGTTTCAAATAAAATTATAGTAGAGTTAAAATGATACTTTTTTTTTTTTAATACTATTGACTCTATTACAATGTAATATTTGTTCATAACTACTTTCTCAACCAAATAAAGCACAAAAAACCAATATCACCTCCACTAAAGCTCAAACCCACAACCTCCCCTATGAGGGAACAACTTGGTGCCATTAGACCATAATGTCCTTGACAATTAAAATGATACTTTAGTAATGCTAAAATAAAACTAGAGTCATAGAAAATGGGACTAAAAAATAAAGCTCATACAATAACATATAATATCAAATGAAAGTGTAGTAGAATTAAAATGACAATTTAGTGTTAGTATAATGAAACTATTGTGTTTGGAAAATGAAACTAAAAACAGAACTCGTAAAATAATGTATATTGTCAAATGAACATGAAGTGTAATTAAAATTATACTTCAACGTTACTATAATTAAACTAGTGTGTGTGGAAAATGAAACTAAAAAAATAGAGTTCATGCAACGTATATTGTCAAATAAAATTGTAGTAGAATTAAAATGATACTTTAGTGTTGCTATAAGAAACTAGCGTACGTAAAAAATGAAACTAAAAACCAAAGTAATATTGTCAAATGAAACTGAAATATAATTTGTTCTCTGTTCAGCTAGTGGCAAGATCACGGAGTCGGTTATGTTAGTTGTGCAATTCATTGTTGTAGATTGTGAAACTCGTGTGTTTGGTTAGTGTAATGTATTTCAATTTTATTTATTCTCCATCCAGCCGGTGGCAAGATCATGTGGGTCCGTTTGTGTTAATTGTGCCACCCAATGGTGTTAGATGTGCAATCCGATGTTGTGTATTGTGCAGCCCATTTTTTGGGTAGTGCAACATATTTTTGATTTTATTTGTTGTCCCTCCAACTGTGGTAAGATCACAGGACATTAATTTCAACGGGTTCAATAGACCCGTGGGTCCAATGAGACTACTCAACACTCAACAAGTCTATGAACCCACTGGAGAGCCTGTGCTCCTGTGTTGGTTGTGCAACCTGTTGTGGTGTAGTGTGTAACACATTGTTGTGTGTTGTGCAACGTATTTTCGGGATTAATTATTTGACTCCTAATTTACTGATTTGCCCTTAGTTATTAAGTTGTCCATGTGCGCCTGAAATTTTAGAAATCAACCACAAATTTGGGATCAACATTTGGCCATTGATCTTGCTATTTTATTTTATTTTTTAAAAAAAACAAGGTGACATTTTTTTAAATAATTCGAAATTTGGTGTAAATAACATGTGTTAAAACTACAATTAACTGGTGCAAGTGTGCAAGTAAAATCACTTAAAAGTGCAATCATTTTTACTTAATAGCGCAAGTAATTTACATTTTCACACCGGTGCGCTTAATGATAACGTCTTTCACATTGGTGCACTTAATGATAACATTTGGTGCAACTAATGATAACATTAGGTGCACTTAATATTGTTGTTCGGTGTATATTATTTGTTGTACTTTTAATACATTTTACTTGCAGTTAGGTGCACTCTATGAAGTTGTTACTTGCAATTTTAACACAATTTACTTGCACTTCAAAGTTCAGTTATTAACGAAAATGTCACCGCATTTAAAAAAAAAAAATAGTCTTTCTGATCCATTATATCTCTTAGTTCTCTCATAGGCATGTGGTTCTCACCTGATCCATCTCTCTCTCTCTCTCTCTCTCTCTCTCTCACACACACACACACACACACACACACATACACACACACACACACACACACACACACACACACACACACACACACACACACACACATATATATATATATATATATATATATATATATATATATATATATATATAGGAAAGTTCAAGTGCGGCGGTGTCTTACAGTGCGGCGTCACCAATATTTCATTAAATATACACCATCAACGTTAGGAAAATGCACCACAAAAACACACACAAATTAGGTACGCATCACCAAAAACACACCATTAGGTATGAGTAAAAACACCATACAGTGTTTGAAAATACACCATTGGGGGTGGTGAGTTATATGCTGTATTTTTGTGTTGTGTATTTTTTGATATTTTCTTGCATTTCATTGTGGTGTGTTTCCCTTACACTGTTAGTGCATGTTGTTAACACTGTTGGTGTATCCTGAAATTCTGTCGCACCGCCGCACCTAAGGATATCGCCGCATATATATATATATATATATATATATATATATATATATATATATATATATATATATATATATATATATATATATATATATATATATATATATATATATATATATATATATATATATATATATAGAATGAGTTCAAATGAGAACAAGTATATTATAGAGAATTGTGAGGACATATGTAGTATGTGCCATTAACCTGTATGTTGTGTGCATGACCGAATGTAGTCGTGTGCCACAGTTATGTCGCGTGCATAGATTTGTTAATTAATAGAGCCTAGGTTCGAAACCTGATATTTACATGTATTCTTGTGTGCTTGCTATTAATTTTTTGTGTGCTCATTATTTGTCCGCACAATCCTCTATATATTGTTGTCCTCATTTGAACTCAACCATATATATATATATATATATATATATATATATATATATATATATATATATATATGTGTATGTATGTATGTATCTTAAATTTTTTTTAAAATGAATGGTTCATATTATTTTGATTTTAATATTTTTTTAATGATTTTCCTTATTTACCCTCTATTATATTATTTTCTTCCCTTAAATAACCTAAATTTCGTTAGTATAAACTTTAGTAACAGAATATTCTGTTAACTATTTATTATTTTTAACTTATTAATTTATATAAGAAAGGTCTTAGGTTCGAACCTCATCCCAATTAGAGTTGACATAATTGTTAAACATATACTACGAATATTTTAATATATATATATATATATATATATATATATATATATATATATATATATATATATATATATATATATATATATATATATATATATATATATATATATATATATATAGGCTTTGGATCTGGTGCACCCGCTCTAATAGATGAGACCATGAGGCCCATTAATACCCATTGATTAAATTCCCATCTATGGTTGAGATTAAAAGAAATAATGTCAGTTATTATCAATGTTAAGGTTATATCAGTAATTGTAAGCCTAATTTCTTTAAGGACATAATTTTAATGGATTATGAAGCATTTTTTTTTGATGCTTTTGAGGATGGAAATTAAAAGATTCTACCTTTAAAAAGATTAAAGGAATGAATTAGCGTTAACAATGGTAGATGTGTGAAGGCGTCGCGGTTGATGGCAGGAGCAACAGTTTAGGACTTTCAGCAAATGGATATTAGCAGTATCGGTAAGTGCTTATACACATCTAAGTCTGTGCATTTCCATGGTTTTCCCGAAATGGTTGAGAACTGAACCAGGTTGGGGGGTGGTCGATAGCGGACTATCAAAAATTGTAAGCGTAAAGGTACACGTGCCTGTGCGTACGCCGTACAACCTAATAGGCAAGGTAGGTTGTGTCTATGTTTTTGTTTTTTCTTTGGTTTGTACCAGTAAGTGCATATACACTTTTACGTCTGTGCATATTCAATGGTTTTGTAAAACGTTTGAAAACTTAACGAGGGTGGGGGGTGTTCGATACCCGACTATCCAACGGCCTAAGCGTAAAGATACGTTGGCCAGTGCGTACGCCGTACTACCTAATAGATAAAATAGACTGTGTCCGTGTTTTTGTTTTGTTTTTTTTTTTTTTTTTTTTTTTTTTTTTTTTTTTTTTTTTTTTTTTTTTTTTTTGGTTTGTACCAGTAAGTGCATAAACACTTTTATGTCTGTGCATATGCCTGGTTTTGTTGAATGGTTATAAACTGAACGACCGTGGGGGGTGTCCGATAGTCGAAATAAGGAACAGGTCTGTGCATAATGAATTCATATCTATGATGGTGGTTTGGATTTGATTACGTAGGTTTTTTAATTATCTTACTTTTGAGTGGCAGGTGCACTAACTATGGGGGGCGATGTCGACGAAGACCATTGTTATATGAATATATCCCCGAGTGGGACCAAGGTTTGGTTGACGGGTTGCGACACATCCATAAAACCATTTGTCGGGCAATTGTTTGCAACATTAGACGAAGGTGTTGACTTCTATAACAAGTACGCCTCTGTCGCAGGCTTTGATGTGCGCCGTAGTTAAGACAAAAAGAATAAGCACAAAGTTATCTTAAGGAAGAAACTGGTTTGTTCACGCGAAGGTTTCAAAGGGGGCAAAAAATCAGATCCACCTGAAACGGTAATTGGAACAAAGACCAAACGTCGTAGGCCATCTAACCGAGTCGAGTGCATGGCAAAGATTGTGTTCAAAATAGACGGTGCGGGGAGGTATTTAGTCATGACATTCGAAGAGGGCCACACACACTGTTTGTGCGATGAGAGATATAAACCGTTCTCGAAAGTAAACAGGAAATTAGATGTTGGTCACCAACAGTTCATAACAAATTGCGCAAAAGTGAATGTGGGCTCGAGCAAAAGTTTTGAAATATACGCAGAGGTTGTGGGTGGAACAGAAAACGTTGGAGCAACACAACAAGATTTCAAAAATTACCGACAGAAAGTTTTGGCATACAAACACGGAGGAGACTGCCAAATGGTAATATCCAAATACCTGGATAAAAAGGCTGACTACCCTGACATGTACTTCGAGTATGAAGCAAACCATAACGACCAATTGACACGGATTTTTTGGGCGGATGGTGTGGCGCGAAAACATTACAGTGCGTTTGGAGATGTTGTGTCCTTCGATGCGACGTACAAGACTAACCGGTAAGATATTCTGAACCTTGTACAACTTTTACTGTAGTTGGACACCCGAAATATGCGAATTAATGTGACTGTGTGTGTGTATATTTGACGCGCGTATGAAGAAATATATAATAACAAAGATGGCAGCGTACTATGCACAGAGTGTGTGCGTTGCGCTGAAGCACATACATATGAATACAAAAAGCTATCTTTTCTTCATGTGCGCCACAGTTCAAATGTGTGTGTGTGTATAGTGTCCAAGAGTATAATTACATGTTTTACAATGGTAGCTGCATATTGATGTACAAGTTTGTGCATCCCCACTGATGGAGATATGAGTACTGTGTAATAACCAAATACCATGATATTGCAGCACGGAAAGGGATTGATGCGTGATATCAATATCCATGCAAAATTGATGTGGAGCTTATTCATATAAACTAACACCTTGATGTCACATGTACGACCTCGTGTCTATCCCATTTACCGGGATCGACAACCATAAGAAATGCGTGACATTTGGAGCAGCCCTCATTGCACGGGAAGACGTGGACTCGTACGTTTGGGTATTAAAGAACTTCAAAAACGCAATGGGCAGCCCCCCCGCTATCACTGTAACTGATCAAGATCCGGCGATGAAAGTTGCAATTGCACAGGAATTCCCTGAGACGCGTCATCGGTACTGCATGTGGCATATAATAACAAAGGTGGGTGATAAAGTGGGCACTGACTTAGCGAGGAACGAAGAGTTTAGACAGGAGCTAAATACTGTAGTATGGAACGACGCGTCAACATCAGGATATTGTATTCTTTTTGGTGGTAATCTCGTTTCATGGAAAAGCAAGAAACAAAATGTGGTTGCCCGCTCAAGTGCAGAAGCAGAATACCGAGCAATGGCACTTGGAATATGTGAGCTAATTTGGATTAAACAGCTTCTCACAGAACTCAATTCCTATAAACTTGGTCCTATGAAATTGATTTGTGATAATCAAGCAGCTTTGCATATTGCCTCCAATCCTGTCTATCATGAAAGAACCAAACATATTGAGGTTGATTGTCACTTTATACGCGAAAAGGTTGCATCTGGAGACATCATTACCTCATTTGTTGGGTCAAATGACCAACTTGCTGATGTTCTCACTAAACCTCTTCGTGGACCTAGGATTGAATACATTTGTAGCAAGCTTGGAGCTTTTGATTTATATGCTCCAGCTTGAGGGGGAGTGTTGGAAATAGGCAGTCATATTTACTCTACTCTAGGAAGTTGTAGCTTTGAGAAGATGAGTAGTTTTTCAGCATTTATTATGCCCTTTCATATGCCTTTCTTTATGCCTATATATATGGTTGTAATCTGGAGAACTAGAGACATATACAATGAAATAAAGCATCATTTCTTCCTTTTCCTCTACTGTTTTCACAGAAACTAACATGGGCTGAAGAGCCCTGCCAAATGGACAATATAATATAGGGTGTGGTGAGTTTATCCGATCCTCACAGAACATTGAAAAGGAGATGGATGCACTGCATGTTGGTCATTTAATTGTACGTGATGTACTGTCGTCGTCATTGGTGAAGCACTTAATTGCATGTTTGATGTTTTTCAAAGAAATCATGCATGTTGGTGGTTGTGGCATGCATGCAGGTTATGATGATATGACATTTACATGTCTGTTTCTTTGCGATAATATTCATTCTTTGTTTTGATATGCTTTTGCAGGTTGGTGTGCTAATTGAATGCCTTGCTGGAAAGTTTCTAAACTGGGAAGCTGCTGCTAGTGCTCTCAAGTTATTGGAGATGTAGAGGCCGGTAAGAAGAATGGCTTAGCTTGGTTATTGTGTTTGTTGGCCTCTGCAAAAACACTTCTTTTTTTCTCTCTTTTTTTTTGTCACAGTTGTTGATATATTTTAAGATTAGATCTTATGGAGTAAAACTCTCATCACATATCATGATTTTATTGATAGATAAGAAATAAGCGTAATAAAAATTGTTGTTCATTCTCTTTTGGATGAATCAAAACAAACCATATAAGTAGAAGTAAAAAAATAAAGTAAAACTTAAGAATGTGTAGAATTATATTACGTATTTGTTGAAATTGAGGGATTGATAGGTCTGGCGGGTGGAGAATAACCACCACCCGCCAGTTAGGCGGAAGCAAAATATGTGAGAACCAAAGAACAAGAGAATATATTATAATGAAAGATTACAATAGATTGTCTCTTGTATCTATGTTCTATATTTCAATGGACCTCTATATATACTAGATACTAAATTAGTCTAGGAAACTACTAATAAGAATAGGAAACTAAGACAACTTTCCTAAAATTTCACACTCCCCCATCAAGCTGGAACATCTAGAAGGTCCAAGCTTGGATTAAAACAAGCACTCTACCTCACTCAAAATTACAAATGAAAATTAAATGCAACTAGAGGATAACAATGCGAGATGGCTTCGGAGGGACAATGCAACCCTTGGGAATGAACACGCCAGGGGCAAAGCTTGTCACGAACATCCTTGGGAATGGAGGCACCAAGGGAAAACACGAACACCATCACAACAACATAAGCACTCTAGGATGGATGACTTCAAAAGAGATTGCGCTATGTCTGACCCTTCCTTGGGGATGAAGACGAAGGCACCAAGAACGGAGCTGAACACAATCCTTGGGAATAAAGACGAAGACACCAAGGACCCTTGGGAATAAAGACGAAGACACCAAGGACGAAGCTAAACACGATCTTGGGAATGAACCCACCGAGGACGGAATTGAACATGAACCTCGGGAATGAAGATGAACACCCCAAGGATAGAGTTAAACATGAACAACCTCCCGATAACACAAGAGAGCGGTAGAGGCAAAAAGGGAGCAAAGAATAGCAAAGGACGCAGTAGAGCCCATAGTAGATAAAATAGCAAATGATAGTAAAGGATAGCACACCGATTGTAGATAGTCACACTCCCCCTTACTTGAAACATGGGAAATAATCTAAGGCCTTTATAGTAGTGCTGAAACTGAACATCCATGGGATAAGGCATACCGGAGATAAAGAAACAAACACGGTTATACCAAAACACAAACACCATGGGAAAAGTTCGGCAACAAACCCAAAGAAGCCTTCAAATTTCACCAACAAGTCGAAAGAAGGGAAAAACAACAATCTGAAAAATCTCGCCGGAGGCAGACTCACGCGCCGGCGCGTGAGGAAGGTCGCCGGCGCGTGATGGCGGCGGTGGCGCGTGAGGACGATGGCGGTGGAGGAAAGCGATGAAATTTTCCAGATAAGGTCGCAAGAGGGAGAGGATTCCATTGGTGTTGGAGGTGAGATCACAAAATCACTGAAGAAGAGGAGATCTGACCGGAAAAATTAAAGCAGTCCGTCGGCGATGGTGGCGCGTGACAGCGTGTGCGACGGCGGATGGTGACGAGATTCCAGGCGTAGGCTCGCGACGATGATCCGAGAGGTCCTATGGTGAAAGATTTGGAGAACAACCACAAGACACGTCGGAACAGGAGAAAACAGTCACTGGTTCGCCAGAAAATAAGTGCTGCCGGAAATATTGGAATAAAAATAGCCTAGGAAAGTAGGCTCTGATACCATGTTGAAATTGAGGGATTGATAGGTCTGGCGGGTAACCACCACCCGCCAGTTAGGCGGAAGCAAAATATGTGAGAACCAAAGAACAAGAGAATATATTATAATGAAAGATTACAATAGATTGTCTCTTGTATCTATGTTCTATGTTGAAACACAAAAAGTTGTGTCTGTAGAAATATAGCTGTTGAAGTTGTGTAGGGTTGTGTCTGTAGAATTGTGTCTCTTAGTCTGTATATATTTATCTGTTGTCTCCCCATTGAGACAAGGAAGTTATAACAACTCTTTCTACATCTCTCTCAACATTCTATACTTCAATGGACCTCTATATATACTAAACTAGATACTAAATTAGTCTAGGAAACTACTAATAAGAATAGGAAACTAAGACAACTTTCCTAATATTCAACAGTATTCTTTAAGATTTAGGCACAACTTTTAGGTTTCCAATGATAAAAGAGTGGTCCTTTCAGGCCTTGTACTATCAAAGAAAGATGTGTTGTCGGTCATATATCTTATCTAATGCAATCAATTATTGAGTTTGAATTATTGGTTAACAGTATTTGATTTTCGGAGTTGCCATCTCCTCAATATACAACTTTGAATTATTGGTGAATACATTTATACATTTGTGTCAGCACACTTTAATTTACCACCTACTCCCTCAATGTGTTGGTAGGTAACACATTATGGAGTGTCTCACTTGCTGACAATCTTCCATAGCTAAAAGTATAAATTTTCAAAAATTGTATACTTACAATCAAGTAAAAAAGAAATTGTTTAGTTATGAGGTTGATATGGAAGAGATTTGTAGGGCAGGGCAGGGTAAGAAGATGACAAAATAAAGCATGGTGGGAAGGACAGAAGATTATAGTGAAAGTTTGAAAAAAATATGAGAGGAGAAATAATGCATTCATGTCCTCAATCACTTTAATTTCAGATTATTAATAAAAAGTGTCTCTTTAGTTATTCATAAAATTACTATAAAAACATATATGGCAGCAAAAAGCTAATTAGCTCTTCTCAGATCAGATCAGACTGTTGCTTGCATATTTGATCGATCTAGTTTTCAGTGTGCAATACCAAAACTTAAAACTACATACATATTCTTACCAGCAAATTAAATTAAAGATTGGAATTGAGAGATAGATGGCTTGTGTTGCTTTAACTTCTCTCATTGAAACCATTGAGATTGAGTTTCTTGGGCAAACAGCAAGGGTAAGCCTATCTCTCCATGATCATGATCGAGCAGAAATCAAGTCTTTCCTTGTAAACCTTTCTACTTTGCAAGCCCTTCTCCAGATGGAATCCAGTGGTGATGGTGATGGTGACGCGCTCAAACTCAGAGATTTAGAAATGGAAATCAGAGAGTTTGCACTCAAAGCTGAAGACGACATTGAACTACAGCTTAGCAACTTCATCCTTCTCGGAGGAGAGTATGGAGAAAAAGCTGCAGGTTGCCATGAACTCCTCCATCAAACTTTGCAAGAAGCTGCAAAAAAGGCAACAGACCTGTTGGAGTCATTAAAATTGGGTAGTGCTAGTGTTGCTTTAACTATTCTCATAAAAAAAATTGACCATTACTTTTGGCAACACTTCCCAACAGTGTATGGTTGTGATGGAACAGCAATGACAATGTCATATTTCTCACACAAGCTTTCTACCCTGCGAGGCTGCTTAATGCAGGAGAGGAATTCCAATAATTCTGGTGCTGCAATCAAAATATTGGAAACCAAAATAATGAACTTCGCACTCAAAACTGAAGATGACCTCCAAATACAACAAAAGAACTTCCTTCTAGCCAAACACACCGTACATCAAGAAAAAGCTTCCCAGAAACTCACCTTGCATGGCTTTCTAAAGCCTGAGGGCAGAATGGTTGGTCGTCACCATGATTGTACAGTCATAAAGAAGCAACTCTTTTCTGGTGGTTCTGGACTAATAAATATAATCTCAATTGTCGGAATGGTGGGTATTGGAAAGACTACTGTAGCAAGAAATGTGTATGAAGATCCATCAGTTGCATCCTATTTTGATGTAAGAGGTTGGGTTACTATACCTCCTCCTCAACACTACAATAAGAGCAGAATGCTAAGCCAACTTCTTCAGTCAATTACACCAGTAGAAGTAATTAAAAAGGGAAGCACTCCTCATGAACTAGAAATGCAGGTACGCAAATGCTTTGGTGGTAAGAAGTATCTAATTGTTTTGGACAACATTACAAGCAAGCAAACTTGGTACCAAGCTTGGAATGAAATCTTAGGATGTGTTTCTAATGGATTAGTTGGAAGTTACATATTACTAACCACTAGACACTACTTCAACCTAGATGTCCAGAGGAAAAGATATATCCATATCCATAAGATGACTTTGCTAGATCAAAAAGAAAGCTGGGAATTATTTTGTAATATCCTTTCTATTGATGAAGAGCACTTGGCCCCTAAATTTGAAAAAATTAGGAACCATGTTGTGGAGAAATGTGATGGATTACCCCAGTTAATTGTTGAAGTTGCCAAGCGTTTATCTAAATGCAACAACATACAACAAGGGTGGAAAAAGATTGAAAAGGAATTAGAGTCATTGGGACTTCTTGATCGCAATGCACTCAGTGTTAGTTACAATATGTTGCCACATCATTTGAAAGTTTGCTTTCTATACTTTGGAGTCTTTCCAAAACGTAAAAAGATTTTTGTTAAAATGCTTATAAGGTTGTGGATTGCCGAGGGATTCGTGAAGCCATTGAAACGTAAGGAGTTAGAAGATCAAGTTTATGACTACTTACAAGAGCTTACTGATAGAAGTCTTCTCTTAATTGAAGATCGCAGTTGTAACGGGAAAATTAAGACTTGTAGAATGCACAGTGCCTTACATAGCTTCTGCGTAGGAGAAGCTCAAAAAGGAGGTATTTTATGTGCAGTAAATACTCAGCAACATTCAGGATTATCATTAAACGCATTTACGAATTCTTGTCGTTGGCTAAGTTCTTACTCACACAGTTTTGACTATTATGTGCTCTTTGGTACGAACATCCCTCGCTCCATTTTTTTCTTTCTTGAAAATCATGAAATGTTTGTTCCTCCCAAGCTGTTAAGAGTTTTGGCTTTTGATACTTCTATATCACTTCAAAGAGTGCCAGTGCAATTAGGAGGTTTAGTTTTTTTGAGATACCTATCCATAACACAATGGTTTGAGGATCTGGATCATGTAGTGTCAAATAATCCAAATCTAGAGACACTTGTTGTTTCCGGTAATGGAGCACCAACAGTCCATTTGCCATCTAGTATTTGGAAGCCACCAAACTTAAGGCATCTTGAACTTGGTAATTCATATATGGTAGATCCTCCAAGTGTAGATAAAAAGAATTTACAAACATTATCTTGGGTGGTGAGACCAATTCATTGCAGACAAAAGGTGTACAGCAAGTTCCCTAATATAAAAAATCTGAAAATTTTCCTAAAGGATGACATAGATCCCAGTCACATTGGAGGATGTTGCAGCAATCCTATTATTTTGGATCATTTTGACTATTTGGAAGGGCTTGAGAAGCTTAGCATTTCGGATTCTATTGGTTTGAATGCAGCCCTTCCAGAAGAGTGTATGTATCCTTCAGGATTGAAGAAGTTGAAGTTGAGTGGGACTAATATTTCTGAGGGGGATTTAAATGTAATTGCCAAGCTACCCCAACTTGAGGTGCTCAAGTTGGAAAATGCCTTCCATGGAGCTGTATGGAACTCACTATCTAAAGGAGGGTTTCCTGTACTAATATTCTTCCTCCTTGAAGCTAAAGAACTCAAGCAGTGGGTAGTTGGCCAGGAGCACTTTCGAATGCTCAGACACTTAGTCTTAAGATCCTGTAATTGTTTGGAACAGATCCCGGAGTGTTTTGAAAGAATACCACTGCTGGAGTCAATTGGGTTGGAGGGGTGTCACTCTTTCCTTGTCGCCTCTTCCAAACAGTTACAACAGAAGAGAAGATTCAAGGATGTTAAGGTTAGAAGCTAAATCATGTTTCTTTTTATTTATTTTTTATTCAATGCTGACTTTCTTTACAAAATCAGTTAGTATTTCTTTCTTCTGATCTCATTTGTTTTTGTGCATTATTTTTCACAGATCAAAATCCTTGGCCCCGAATATGATGACTCACAGAATACACATACAAAATTGTCTATGTAAGATGACTTGGGCGGCCAGCCTCATAGTAAATAACTGTTGGAAAAGGGTATGTGTTAGGTTACATGTATCTTGCTCCTATATTTTTATTTGCATGCCAAATACAGTGCATATAGTTGCATATACAAAAAATAAATTCATATTCGTTGATTAAGATTTAATGATTCGTCATTAATGAAATTAAGAAACGTGCAGATCGACTGATCGAGTATCCAGAAGTTGCTCTTGAAAGATGGCTCAAGAGTTTTGTGTTAAAAAGACGGTGGATAACTTTTTATTAGCAAACATTATATTGTGAAGGAGAAGAAGATGTATGTTGGTCATTAAAGATCTACTACTACTTCATGAGTATATGTGACTGGGGCAAGCTAGGAAGGTATTTCATCTCATCTGGTGCCTATATGTAATGATCATACTACTTTAATTTACATCTCTGTTTCTTTTCTCTACCTCTCGCAATATAATTAATCCCGAGTACTAATGTGCTTTTGCAGATTGGTATGTCAATTGAATACCTTTTTGAAAAAATTTCCAAACTGGGAAGCTAAGCTGCTAGTAAAGTATTGAAGATCTAGAGGGTAAGAAGACTTGATTAGTTATTTCCTTCTAATTGAAGGATGGATGTGTTTTGTTTCAATTAAAACTTTAAATTCATAGTGAGACTACACTTAATTGTTTTTATATATTTTGTTCAACAGTTCTGCCTCTCACTAATTGATATTGATGATTTGTCAAGGCTTATTATAATTCTAAAAACTTCTTCATGAGATTGATTATATTTATATCCATTTTAGGCATTAAATGAAAGATTTTATAGTTATCCTGTAGTCAATATTCTTGAAATTGCTTTCAGAACCTTAAAAATTTGTATTCTTCAAAAGGCAGAGGTTGCAGAACGTGCAGAAGAAGCACACTTTTCCCTAACAAAGAATGAAAAAATTTTAACAGAAAGAATATTAGACTGATGTTGCTTTTTATTTTAACTTCACGACTATTGAACTACTAATTACTATTTCTGTTAGGATAAATGAATGAAACATTCAATATAATTTGCCAACAACTAACAGTATGAAATAAAAAAATGGAGAAGTTTAGAATCACAGTAAGAAATTATCCTACAAAATTTACACCTCCATCTACAGTTGCTAACAACTCTGCAAGTTGTTTCTATGATGATGATGATGTGTTTGTTGCATTCTTTTCACTATAAACAGGTAGTTAGTAGAGTTTGAAAAGTTTTACAATTGACTTGGAGAATGCCTTCTGTGAAATAGAATGGGAAATAGCTAAAGGAGAATTCTATAGACTAAGATTCTTGCTAGCTTCTTGAAGCTAATAAACTTGAGCATTGCGCAAGCTAAGCGATGGTGATTTCCCATGTCTCGAGTTGTTAGTCTTGAGATGTTATTGTTTGGAAAAGTTCCCTTGGTGTTTAACAGAAAATTTGAAGCTGCAGTCAATTAAATTGGATTAGTGTGGCCCTTCCGTTGTTGCTTTTGCTAAGCAGATTCAGTAATGTAAAGTTGAAAAACTGCATTTTTGAGGTTAGAAGCTACAACGTATGATCCATTCTCAATTATTTCTTTTCTATTCTATATGGATGCTAACTTTCTTTACAGACTTTTCTATTCTCAGGACTGTAGAAGTTGAAGTTGAGTGGGGCTAATATTTCCGAGTGGGATTTAAATGTAATTGCCATGTTACCCCAGCTTATGGTGCTCAAGTTGGAAAATTCCTTCCATGGAGCTGTATGGAAAGTTGCAGAAAGAGGATTTTCTGAATTAAGATTCTTGCTCCTGTGGGTAGTTACCAGGAATCACTTTCCGATGCTCAGACACTTAATTAGTCTTAAGATCCTGTTATTGTTTGGAACAGATGCCAAATAATTTCCTATGTTACAATTTGGAGTCAATTGCGTTGGAGGGGTGTAACTCTTCCCTTGTCGCTTCTGCCAAGCAGTTACAATGGAAGAAAAAGTCGGAGGGGTGTCACTCTTCCCTTGTCCTTCTTCCAATCAGTTTCAAGAGAGGATACATGGATTTAAAGGTTAGAAGCTAAAACTTGTTTCATTCTTAATTTGTATTTCTTTTCTATCAATGTTGTCTTTCTTTACAAAATTCGTACTGTTTTTTTCAATCTGATTTCATTTTCTGGATTATTTTTCACAGATCAAAATTCTAGACCTTGAATACGATGAAAACAAATCAAGAAGTGTGTATGTAAGAAGTCTTGTCCAGCCTCATAGTATACAACTCTCTGAAAATGGCAAGTGTTAGGTTACTGCATGCGTCTGGTATCTACATTTTTTATTTGCATTATTGCATACCAAATAAAATGATGTGCTGATTTTTCAGTTGTATAATTTTTGCATTTTATAGAGTTACATCCCGCTTTATCTAGTAAGTGTAGCTTACACTAGAGTCAGGCTTGTATAGTTGTAATTACAAAAAAATAAATTCATTTTTATAATTTAGAATTATGTCACTCTATCACCACATTATTACCTGAAAGAACATCAATATTGCTCTATATATTCGTGTGCAAACCGGGGGATGACGGGTGTTGTTTCCTTGTACAGATATATTGAAGGTTTTAATTTCGTTGTTTCCTTAGACCTCAGTTGTGAAAATGTACCGTGCAGTCACTCCAACAACATAATAGAAAGATGCACTAGACAATTTAATGAATGAATGATTCCTCATTAATGAAAGAAACTTATTATGATTGATTGATTGCTATTACAGAGTATCCAGAAGTTGCCAGATGCATAGTATTTTTGAAATAGCTTAGCTTGCAGAATCTGCAAAAATCGTATTCTTCAAAAATCCAAGCTGTACTATTGATCATAATTGCCCTGTTTCAAGAAATGCAGTGGATATTCTTTGACAGATAAATAGTTTCTGTTTTGCAGGCCTAGTCTACTGGCAGCAAGTTGCTCCCCTATGTGGAGGTTGTGAGTTCGAGCCTCGTTGGAGGCGGACTATTGGCTCTTTGTGCTTCAGTAGTTAAAGTAGTACATTGTAACATGTAACAGAGTCAGTAGTACTAAAAAAAAAAGCATTAATCCATCAATTGGACAACCTTGACTGTTTGGAAGGGCATTAATCCATCAATTGGACAACCTTGACTGTTTGGAAGGGCTTGAGAAGCTAATGATTTAAGTTTCTATCGGCTGCACTGTAACTCTTAAAATCGGTCTGTGTTTCCTTTCCTACCCGAGAAGTTGAGATTGAATGGGTTTTAATCATTTTGAGAGGCATATAACGGTACGTAGTTGGCATGCTGCTCTGGCTTAAGGTGTTCAAGCTAGAAAATTCCTTCCACGGAAAAGTATGGGAAGTAGTTGAAGGAGGATTCTACCAATTAGGAAGCTGTTGCCAGGCAGATTCAAGAAGGCTGCATCCATTATGAAAAAGAATTGAATGTTTGAGGTTAGAAGCTACATCATGCTTCATTCATAATTTTTTATTTTCTTATACATTCTTTACAAAAGCTCGTTGCTACTATTTCTTTTTCTGATCTCATTTTGTTCTCTCCATTTTCCATAGATCAAAACATACGGGCTTGAATATGAGGAATCACCGTATCCACATGTAAAAGAGGACATGTCAGACATCATATATAGTGAGCTAGCTAAGTGCTATATATTAGAAAAATGGTATGTACACAGATACATATCTCTTGTCTGCCCATTGTTTCCAACATACTCTATGGTCTGCCCATTATTTCCAACATACTTTATGATACATTCGAAAACATGACTAGTTTTCTTGTCTTTTTTCAAAAAAATAAAATAAAAATGCATTTGATATTGTTTGACATCCAAATGTTTGTCATTTGCAAGGCATTAAGGATTAACTTACTCAATCCTACATAATTGAGAGTTGTGGCTTCCTGCCTGTCAAATGGACAATGGTCTGTTTTTCCTCGCCGAACATTGTAAGTTCTCTTGGTGTTTAACAGAAAATTTGAACCTGCTGTCAACTAAGTTGGATACTGGCAAGTTGAGAAAGGAAACTGCATTTTTGAGGTTAGAAGCTACAGCACAGGATCCATTCTCAATTATTATATTTCTTTTCCATTAAATTAGAGCCCAATTTCACTTGTGGATGATGTAGTAATCCCATCATTTTGGATAATCTTGACTATTTGGAAGGGCTTGATAAGCTATAGTATCTACACCAATTGATTCATTGCAATATACTATTATTTCATCTTTTATAAAACAAGACAAGACTAGCTTTCTAGTTTCTCTTTCAAAAAATGCTTTTGATATTCTTTGACAGCCAAATAATGTTTCTCATTTGTAGGCTAGACCGGGCATTAAGGATAAACTTCCTCAACCCCAGCATATAAAAGATGCAGTATCGTCAGATCTGGTTTTGGCAATATGGTATTTTCAATGCAATGGATAGCTCAATAGCTACTATCTTCGGTCAACATACTATTGCAGAGTATCCAAAATATGCTAATAGATGGCATTGAAACACAGACTAAGGAACCTCCTCTCAGGTGGACAATTTAATGGTCAGTTTTTTCCTCAGAAGGAAGGAGATGCATGCTGGTGAGTGGTGATCAATACCAGTATGCTTAATTGAGTAAACTAATATTAATGGTTTTCAAAGGATTCATGTTGGTGGCTATAGCAGGAAAGTTTGTTCATCTGGTGCTTATATGAGATGATGATGTGAGTGTAAATAATTCTTTGTTTTGATATGATTTTGCCCAAAATTATTTTTTGAATTATATTGGTAGTGCTCAAGCCATTGGAGATGTTGAGATAAGAGGAATTGGTTGGTTACTTTGTTCTGCCTCTGGCTGATTGATATTGATTTACAAGGTGAGTATAATATTATTCTGAAAACTTCTCTTATTAGAGTTGATTGCAAATTACCTGTATTGCTTCAAACCAAAGATTGATAATGATCTTGGTTTTAAAGAATGGATCTGCACTATGAAATGACTACATTGTAATCTTATTAGAATCGATTGCAAATTACTTAGCTTGTTAGGTTGCCTTTTTGGATTTGCATGTTGTTTGAAGCTGATCTGATTATAAAATATTTTTAATTTTTTACAAGTATTATTACATTTTTCTTATAAAATTATTGAATTCATATTCATTTTGTGTTGTGACATGCATTATCACATTAATTTTGTTTATTTAATTTTTATGTAATTTTTTTTAAAAAGTGTAGTACATATTTGATTAATGGGAAAAGTGTCAAATTGGCCCCCTAAGTCGACCGGATAGTGCAATTGGGTCCCCTAACTAAAACAAGCTTCATTTAGATCCCCTAAACCTGTAAAATTGTTCAATTAAGTCCAAAGTGACTAGTTTAACAGGTTAAGACTTCACATTGTTGACACGTGTTGTTTTAAATAGTCCACCCACAGTGGATGCAACATAGTACTGAGGGGAGTGCATCTGGATCTTGCCAGGCTCACTGGGAGCTGGAATTGTAAAGCTCTTATTCACCGGAGATGAAGGCAAGGAGGAATCATTTCGAGTGCCAGAGGTTTGGAAGTGAAAGAAAAAGAAGAAGAAGAAGAAAGCGATGACGAATAGAGGAAGCTGGGGGTGAGAGAGTGGCGGCGGTATGAGTTCTCAATGACTGAAAGTAGGGCCGGTAGCGGCGAAAGAGCCAAGGAGACGGGAAAATGATAGAAATGAGGGCAACGTTAACACTCGACTTGACCTCCACTGCTTGTTTGAAGAAGTAGCTCGTAAGTCGTAGTAGCTCGACCTCCACTTGAATCGACTCCGACTTGTCATGGTGTTGCTCCGTGGATTCTTCAATGCCTTCGATTTTGGTCGAATTTGGACTCCACAGCAATAGGGATTTTTGTCGGTTTGGGACTCCACAGTTTGGCTATGCTTTTCAGGCAAGATGAAGTCAACAACGACACTTTGGAGTCAATGGCTTGGTAAAAAGAGCGCTGAACGAAGGAAAAGACTAAAATGCCCATACTAAATCGGAGTCCTCACTAGCTGAACGACGGAACACGACTAGAAGGACTTATTCGACCAAAAATAATTAATTTCAAGGACCAAATTGATGAATTTAGAATTGAGGGACTACATTGACAGTTCGCCAACCATTGAGGGACCAAATTGTTAATTTTCCCTAATAAATAAGGTTACGAGTAAAAAAGAAAATTCCTACCAAAAATTACTAATCATATATCTTATCTATGTATAATATAAAGAGCCAAACAATTTTTTCCCAAAACTTTTTCCGGCGGGAATTCCTTGTGCTTTGTGCAATGTTAGTTGTTCTTTGCAAATTTGATACCTGTTTTGTCGTTCCCGGTGTGTCGCCGTTCACGCAAATTTTGCCATGGAATCGTGTTCACCGAGAATGGTGAACACAAGGCAAAACGACGTCGTTTTTAGGCAAAAAAAAAAAAAATTTCGCGGATGTGGAGTTAACGGCGTGCGTTTGATCAAATTATGAATTTTCTGTTATGAGATTATGAATTTTATGAAAATTCATAATCGCATAACAGAAAATTCATAATCTCACAACTGAAAATTCATAATCTTATAACAGAAAATTCATAATCTCATGGTTCCAAAGTGAATATGTAGGCATGGTTCCAAAGTGAATGTGCAGACATGGATTCATAATTTATGAATGTCCGTGATTTCGGACGGGAATATGTCGGCATGGTTCCAAAGTGAATGTGCAGGCATGAATTCATAATTTATGAATGTCCGAAATTATGAATGTAATGAAAATTCATAATCTCATAACAGAAAATTCATAATCGCATAACAGAAAATTCATAATCTTATAACAGAAAATTCATAATCTCATGGTTCCAAAGTGAATGTGTAGGCATGGTTCCAAAGTGAATGTGCAGGCATGGATTCACAATTTATGAATGTCCGTGATTTCGGACGGGAATGTGTAGGCATGGTTCCAAAGTGAATGTGCAGGCATGAATTCATAATTTATGAATGTCCGAAATCTTTGTTCACCTCAAATTAAAGTGAAACCGCAAAATGTGAAAATAAAGAAGAAAAGTCACGCAATTAATTAAGGAAAAAAAAAAAAAAAAAAAGGATAACCGTGTACTAACACCGTTGGCCACACGTATGCAACACACAAACCACACACCTTACGCACTGAGAGACACCACCTTAGCAACAGTAACCATGCTCTTTCTGTTTTTTAACGCTAAGCACGCTCTTGGAGTTTTAAAATGATGCACGTTAAGTACAGAAATTGCGCACCTTACGCACTGAAACACAACCCGTTACGGACTTTACAATAGCGCACCTTAAGCACCCAACACACATACTTTAATCATACATACAAAGCCCGTGTTTTCCCCGCACTATCGTTCCCTATATCTTCTGTTGTGACTGAAGGAAGCCTAGATTTATCCGTTAATTTTTGCGGCAACACAAAGTAGACACTTTAAGAACACATACAAAACCCATGTTTTTTTCCCTCTGTCTTTCTCTGCAATTTTTTTTTTAACTGTGTATCGTTATATTTCCTCTTTTGTGAGTAAACGAATAACAACGGCCAAAACCAATTGGTCATAAGATCAACGCACCTGAAAGCTTTCATAGTTGCAATATTTTCCTGTTGTTTAAATATGTATTATGGTACATTGTGGTTCCAGAGAACACACCTTAAACTGTAAATGTGTGCACCTTAAAGCGCCAATTGGTGCAACGTAAGGGTTTGCCGGTTGAAACGGTCCTTTTTGTTGCAAGTTATTTAATACACACATCAACGCACTTTGATACTTGGAACCCCGCATTTTAAACAATTAAAAGCCGCACTTTACAGCAATATATATATATATATATATATATATATATATATATATATATATAATGGTCATAAAACAAAAATGTTTACAATTTTTCACCAACAAACATAATTGAATGTGGGAGAATAACCTAGAGACCTTTTCACAAATGCCTTAAAACAATAGTCGAGTTAAGTATTTATGCAACAAGTTGTGCATAATTAACATAGGAAAATAAATGTTTGACCGCTACTGTAAGAGATGTGGCATAGACCTAATTTTCTGAACAGCTGAACAAGTTAAGGTTCGTCTCAACTAAACCCTAATCCTTAAACAATCCTTCACGTAAAAATTGGACCATCAAATCTAATACTGTATAATGCTTTTGATTTGTGTAAAATGAGATTGAAAATTGGATGCGAATAATTTAGAAATGAGATTATGAAAATGCAAAAATTTATTATAACAATTACTATTATGTGTATGTATCTTGAGACTCATAATCCCCAGCCCGGTGGCAAGCTAAGCTAAGCTCTTTCACAGTTAATGAATCTATCTCTCATTTCAAGTTCCTCTTGTAGATCTTGAACCAAGTTCTCCATCTGTTAGTTTCAGCAATGTAACCCATTCATTCAATTTGTCCACCTATACTAGCTCCTTCTTATGTGCCAAGAACGAAGAGAATATATGCATGCCCACAGATATTCCAAGACAAACAAGAAATGCTCCATGCATGCGATATAGATGATGATCCTAATTCACATATAGCAAGAGTTATCGAAGCTGCGGTAAGATACAACATCTAATCCCTGTATTTAAAGGCATCTAATCCCTGTATAATTCCTGTAATGGTGATACAACATCTTTTAAGAGCTAGGCTTCTAATCCCTGTACAATGGGTCTACCCAAACCGCTTAATAAGTTTGATAGGAATTAATTAAAATCGCAGCTGAACCTTTAATTTTTAACGAATTAAAGGCTGCCTACGTACTCCAGATTTTGTCTGGGATCAAGCCGCACGTAGTTCTTGGGTTACATGGATGGATCGATCAAAGGTAGGTCTTTTTTGAATATAAAGTGTAGTTTGGTTTCAGGTTTTGATTTTTCTTCTTGAGCCTCTTCATTTTTGCAAGCAGCCTTTCTCGGACATCACCGTCGAAGTCGGAGACAAGAGCTTTCATCTGGGACTGGAGATTATTCTTGGTTTTTGGGAAATGATGAATGAGTTGTATCTTCTTCTTCGCTTTCTTGTCGGCTTCATCAGCGTAGCTTTGCTCCAACTTCCTCTTCGTGGCTTCCAACTTCAGTTTCATTGAATTATTCTTCTCTGCCACCGCAGCAGGGCCAGGAACTACTACTTCATCAATCTTTTTCTTCAACTTTAGAATGATCTTCATTTTCCTTAGCTTGGGTTGATCCAATTCTTCCATGCCCAAACATGCAGATGATGATTCTACGTCCATAGCTAGGGCTGATCGATGAGTGGTACGGTGATGATATAATGATCGAATTGAATTAATGGTTATAGGGAGGGAGTACAGTATATATATATATATATATATATATATATATATATATATATATATATATTTTGAGCGCCGCGGTAGTACGAATGAACGTGATGAGAAATGATAGTACTATACGTAAAACCTTATAGGGATAGGACTACGTACACTAATAATAATAAAAGATTTTTTATTTTTAATTACTTGGTGCTTAAGGTTAATTTAATATTATCAGTTATCACTATAAAATGATTTATATTGAGATACTTTGTTATTAATATATATTATATATTATATATATTGATGAATCAAGTGAGAACAAACCTAGTTAAGAAAATTATGAACCAATTTCAATTTAATAAGGCAAACTAACCATAATAATTTACATAATGCGGAAGCTAAAGTAAACAATAACAGGGTGCTATGCCACAGCTACATACTTAGATGCACAGGCTTGTAACAAACTATCCAACTCAAACAGTACAAGTACTCAGTGTGTAAACAGTCACGGCTCACAGGCCAAACCGACTAAGTTAAGAGAGGGAAGTAATTAAAGCTAGTCTAACGACGACTTCAATCTAGCGCACTCGGAGTCAAACTACTCTATACCTGAAAAACATTAAGGCGTAACAACCGGTAACCCACTCCAACCCGTTAAGTACCATATAATATA